GCGCTCGGCGCGGGCAGGTCTCTCTGCTGCCCGGTCCTATTTGTTGCCGAGTCCGGCTCGGAGCGGCAGCGGCGCGCGGAGCTCCCGGGAGCCCCGAGGGGCAGCCGCACAGCCACGACGGAGCAGCCGCGGGACTGGCCGCCCCGCGCCCCCTTCGCCGCCGTGCCCTTCCCCGGCGCGCTCACCCCCTTCTCAGGATGGGATTGTAGCGGCGGCGCGGACTCGGCGGGGATCGCGGCGGAGGAGGCGGCGGCGGCGGCCGATCGGGGCTCCATGTTTTCCCCCGGCCAGGAGGAGCACTGCGCCCCCAATAAGGAGCCGGTGAAATACGGGGAGCTGGTGGTACTGGGGTGAGTCCCGAGATCTCCGACCCCGGGAGCTTGACGGCGGGCGGCGAGTGCTCCGGGCTGGGTGCCGCAGGGCGCCCGCATCCCCGAGCGGGGCCAGCGGGGTGTCTCGGGCGCTCTCAAGGGAACGCTGGGGCGCTTAGGGCGGCGGGGGCGGCTCGGGGGCCGGGGCGGCAAGCGCCCGGGGAGCGGTGCCCCCCATCAGCGCGCGCGGGGCGCCGCAGAGACCGCCGAGATGCGCTTTCCCTGCCGAGGACCGCGGCCGAGGAAGTGGCGGAGTGGGGCCGGCCCCGGGGAGGCAGGGACTGTGGCGACCCCGCGCTCCGCGGGGCGCTGCGCTGGGGGACCGAGTCCTCGTCCATACCGGGGAGGGGAGCGTACCCTTGCTCGACTTCCTCGCGCGCCGTGGGTCAGGGAGGGCGGGTAAGGGCCGGGGCCGAGGCGCCACCGTGGTAGGCACCTGGCGGTGTCGGGGGAGACCCCCCAGTTGGCGAAGCTGAAAGGCTGGTGGGGCCCGGTCCCCGGGGACCCTCTGCCGGGTGGATTGTGATCCCGGAACTCCGAGCGCGGCGCTGCGGGCTCGGCCGCCGCGGGCAGCGGGATCTGCGCGGTGGGCGTCCACGGGCAGCGCTTTGCATATTGTTATGGTGACCGCCGCGGGTAGCCGCAGCCCGGGAGCAGTGAACTGTCTGTGACCCGGGCAGGCAGGCCGGCCTCGGCTCTCCCAGGCGGGAGTGTCCTGGAGGGGGCAGGGACACGGGTGCGCTTGCCCGGGCTCCCGGGGCGCGCGGGGCCACATCCCCACCGTCCCGGGCCGCGGCCTCGCTGCTGTCCTCCGGGCGGCGGGGAGCTCGCCCGCCTCGGCGCCCTCCCCGCTTGTGAAAACCACATTTTGAAGATAGTAATTATCTACAATCGTTAAACGGCAGCAATTAGAGACTTCATCTACTTCCTGAGTTTCCCTGTGACATTTCTATTGTTTACCCTTAATAAGCCGGGAGAGAGGCTTCGCAGGATTAAAGCAGGATAAAGTGGGCAGTGAAAGGGGAGCAGAATGGGGAGGAGGGAAATGCAGGAAACTCGGGAGAGGGAGCAACTTGGATTTAGTATCAAGAGAAATACCAAGAGAAAAAAGGATTATTTTCTCCTTCGGATGTGTCACTCCTGGGAACCCGTGCTTTTGTCCTTCTCTGTTGAAAGACCTGTATTCTGACCGTCATCGGTGCTGATAGGTAGGCTTAGCCCACAAATGAGCCATGGGTAGGGAGAAACTCAGGGAACTCTGAAAAACGTGTTTTGATAACTGAATACGTTGAAGTGCCGACTTAAAAATAATTTTAAAGAGAAGAATTTTTAAGGGAAGCTTCCACAGTACAGCTGGAAGTTGTCTAGTCCTCCTCACGTTGTTGCTACAGTATTAAGTGGAGCATTATTGGAAATCTCATTACCTATTTTGAAGTTTGCAGATAAGCGGTTTTTCCCACTTGCATCTTAATTGCGCCGAAAAGACAGATGTCCGGGTTCAGTGGCAGGAGAGCGGAATGACAGGGAAAAGCCCGAGGTTAGCTTGTCTTACATAACCTCAGCCCAACCTAATTTTGTAGAGTTTGGTTTTGTTTGTGTGTCTGGCTTCAAAGTATGTTTAACGTACTTTGTGAACCTGACACGAAAGATTACGTTACACCAGAGCTTTATTTCGTTATTTCCTTTTGAGGAAATCATTGTTGAGATGTTTCAGAAAAGCAGTGTCCTAGTGGGCCTTGGAGAGGTTGTGTGTTTATAGCTGCAAGTGCAGGGCGTTCCAGAGCCGTGGAAAGGATTCAGACCCAGGATTGTCCTGGCATCATAGGCTTGCTCTAAAGTAGGCTATGTAAATGCATTGCCCACTGCGTGTGCTTTGTCCTGCACTGATGGTTTTCCGGGAGACACTAAGTATGACATAGTTGGCACTTTACCATTTGGGGCCAGACACGGAGCAGTTATTTGAGTACCTGATATGGGCCAGCACTGCTTAGGCATTGAGGATCCAGCAGTGAGTGAGGAGCTTTCAATTTAGCATGGAGTGGCTGTCACCAGCAGACAGAAACATGTAAACAAATGAATAATACATGGCGTATATCAGGTGTTGCCAGGCTCTCAACAGAAGGTGGTTAACTTAGGGAATGTCTGTGCTAGGTAGGTATTGCTTTCTTTAGCTAGGCGGTCAAGGCAGGTCTCTCTGAGGAAGTGAAATGTGAGTTGACATCAGACGGCTGAGAAGGTACTGGTCAGGTTATTGAACACTTGAGAAGAATTGTGGTCTTTTTTTTTTTTTTTTGAGGGTAGATTTCTGACTCTAGAAATATCGAACACAATGAAGAATGCTGGGGAAATAGTAATAGGTAGACTTGAAAGACGAGTATCCTACCCTCAGGACTTGAGACAGTGCCCTCCCCCTTAAAACAACAGTAAGGGTCAGTAATTAATATCAACTTTGCGTATCTGGTCATCTGGGTCATAAATATTGGTAGAGGAGTTCTCGTAGGTTTTATTGATAAAATTAATCTCGACGTCTAAAAATGACTAATATTGATACTGATACAAGCTTTTGCTTTTTTTTTTTTTTTAACTGTTGTATAACTACCTTTCTGTTCTCTTCTAAATTTCTTCTTTTTTTTCTCTCTTCTAAATTTCATAGTAAAATGTTAGTGAGAAATCCTGGGGAGCAGACTGAGGAACTATATACACATATGTGTATATATATATAGACATACACATATATATGTATATATGTATGTGTGAAGAGCTATATATGTATTATATCTATATCCACATGCAAATATGTGTCTTTTCACGTATTACACAATATTAAGGGAATTGCCAGGTAGTTAGGATGTTAATAGGGTCATCACCTTCTCACTGGATTAGTGGAATTTCATTATTTCTGGATTCCTACCAGTGAATGTATCCTGCCACAACCCTTCATTGTGCCCATTACATAATTCAAGGTAGAGAAAATGACTGGTTTAACTGTCAGGTCTTTCTTGCTATTCATTTTAAAGCTGGCTGATGTGTTAAAGTTGGGGCAACGTGTCTGGATTTGCGAGGCAGTTCAGTGTAGTGGGGAGGGCATAAAGGAACAGTCGGGAGACCCGGATTGAATCTCTGCTTTCTTGCCAACTAACTTTGTGACTTTGGCTTAGTCTCTTACCCTGTCTCTGCTTCTTCAGCCATAATGAAATATGATTGGATTAGGTCATCTTTAAGGGCCCTTCCTGGTCTATACTCTGTAATATACTGTTCCTTGGTTCAAGTATGGAAGATGCAGTTAACATGCTGTTTGTTGGTTTTGAATACTCTTAAGGTGATGGTGTCAGGATTCTAATGGGAACTGTCTTTTAAATAGCAGAAAAGACCAATGCTGTGATTACTTCTTTTGAAGTAGATATGTGCAAAACAGGCTTTTTAAAAAAAGTCGTCACGGTACGCATATATTTGGCTCACTGGTGTTGGGTTATATGTGAAGGCATTCAAATTTGGTAAAACTTTCTGTTCCAAACTGAAGAAAGGCAGTATTATTCTGTAGTTAAACTCAATAGGCTGGAAAAGCCAGCATAAGGAAGAGATAACCCGGACAGGATTTTGGAACTGGAAGGGGCCTAAGAGGTCCTGGTATACCTTTAAGCCTTTTATGTTACTGATGAAGAGGAAACTGAGGCTCCGGAAGGAAGGAGATTTGTTCAGGTTCCCAGTTGAGCGGGATCAGGGCGCTGCTGGGTCCCCGTTTCCCCACTTCGGGGCAGATTCCAGCAGTGCCGTCAGTTCCTCAAAGCTTCAGTTTTTTTGTAACTTGCTCGAGGGGAGCTGAATCCCTTTCTGGGTTCAGTTTGAAGTACGCAGCTCTCGTGCTGACTAATGGCCCATCATGGTGTTTTGGAAAAATATTGCTTACTCTCAGTTCCCCTCATCTCACAGTGGAATGGATAATACATTTTGCAAGGCTTTATTTTTAATTTGATGCTTCGCCACATGTATTGTTATTGGCTCTCCCAGCCAGCAGTTTTTGGGGTCTTCAGATGGAATTCAGGAATCCCTGAACTTGGATTGGGAAGAAAAATGTATGTCTATTTTCACTATAGTCAGACTGAAACCTAGCATTTCACTCAATTAGGAATATAGGCAACAGATAGAACTGCTGCTACATTTGCTACTTACTGCATTAATACAGAACTGCATATATTTTTGCGTCTTAACTTAAAACTGTCTTGATAACTAAGTATAATTATTTTCACTTGTAATCCTTTGTATTTTATTTTATGTATTTAAACCATTTTTCTGAGAAGGGCTCAGTAGACTTTACCAGACTGACAAAGGGATCCTTGGCACAAAAATGGATTAAAAACCTCTACAAAAGAATGCTTATGAATATGACTGAGAATGAAGTATTTTAGTGGAAACTGATCAAGGTCTTCAAAAGGTTGAAAGGTCAGGGATGGGTTGGGGGGGACCTGCCCTTTTTCCTTTGGATGGTGCAGCATTCTGTCTGATAAGACAAAGAAGACTGTTGCTTGAAGAGTTTTTGGTCTTTATTTTTTTAAACAAGCAGCTCCCGATTTCTATATGCTGTTTTTGTTTTAACCTTGGCGCTCTTTTTTAAAATTTTTTTTTATTATGTTATGTTAGTCACCATACAGTACATTGTTAGTTTTTGACGTAGTATTCTGTGATTCATTGTTTGCGTATAACACCCAGTGCTCCATGCAATACGTGCCCTCTTTAATACCCATCACCAGGCTAACCCGTCCCCCCACCCCCTCCCCTCTAAAACCCTCAGTTTGTTTCCCAGAGTCCATAGTCTAACCTTGGCGCCTTACCTTGACTACCCCTCCCCTTGGTAGTAATAAGAAACCTTAAAATATACCCTAATACTTTTCCTTTTCTTATCCTCCTCTCTAATTTGGGCCTGAAGACTTCAAACAGTGGTATCCTTTATGGACTAAAAGGTCTTTGAACTTTTTTTTTCA